TGAGTTCATTGTCAAAAACTTCTACTCTTTTTTTTAAATAAACATAGTAAGTTTTACAGTCTTATATTTGTGACTTCTATTTGATTTTGTTTTTGCTTCTCTAATCATGCTGTCTTCTCTCTTTGTGTGCTGTTATAATTGATAATTTGACAGGTATTAGAGATACATTTTTCATAGCAATGTTTAGATGTATGCAATGATATTAACTTACTCCACAATGGAAAGTTGCCTTTTTTATGAGACATCAAGATAAAGGTGGTCTACAAACCATACCATGTTAAAATCTTAGCAAGAGAGGGGTAATCTATTATTTTACATATCTCATATGCCTAGAAGAACATCAAGTCCCATAAAAGCACTTAGACATCACATAGCCACCTACTCAATATGGAAAATCCTCCAAGGAATGTATGATTTCAGGTATAAGCTCACTACAACATAGGCTGGGCAGTTAGTTCCTTACCATCTTGTTATTTCTTTCAAGTATTTAAGACTTGTTGCCTGTTTCCTGTACTTTTAAAATTCCTTTTGTGGATGAGTTTGTCTGAATTATCTAGATCACTGTTACCAAAGAAAATAAATTTCTAGATTATATTTTAATTGTTTTATTTTAATTTTATAATATATATTATTAGAAAATCACATAATATTTTAAGGATACATAATTAGTCTAAATTTTCAGTCATTTAATTATAATAAGCTAGTCTATATCTCAGCCTGTCCAAATTAGGTAAGCATTAACAATTATTTTTGTAGCACCTGTTTCTTGAATTTCTTAACATTCTTGAATGTCACCAGAATTTCCTAGCTAAAAGAGCATGTAATTGTGTGATAAAAGTTGTCTTATTATGAGAATAATTTATTCCATCAAAGATTCCTAAATGTTATCCTTTTTATAATCTATTTCTGGATTAAAATTATATTACTGTCTGCTTTTAATTAACAATGTTTTTTTTTTTTTTACTGGAGTAGAGGAAGAAAAAGTACATGTCATATGGAAATATTACTGTTAAATTTTTTAAATTCATTGCTAAAATAGGATTTATAAGCATAATCATGTCAATTAGATATAGGGCTATTGGACAAATTATACAATAAAATATTCAACATAAGTCCATAGGTAGAAATTTGAAAGTATATAAATATTTAAAATAGCATTATCCTGATTATGATAAGCTCTGTTATTGTTATTACAATAAATAAATAAAGCTTTACTTTAAAGATGTAAATCAAAGTTACAAGTCATTCTTTTTAACTCCAATGTGATTCACTCCTAATATTTTATTATTTTCTATACTATGTTAAAATCACTTTATATCTTCCCCCCAACTTGCTATCACCACATCCATTACCCAGGTGCTATTAAAATTAATTTTCCACAAGTGGTTCCTCTTCATGGATTAAGTTGTACTCATAATAGTTGTATTTGGGGCTTTAGTTTCTTCTGAAAGAAAGTTCCAATTTTTTGTAACTTTGAAAACGAATTATTAATAGTCCCCTAAGCCAAGTTGTGAAGATGAGAATATGTAGAAAAGAAAATAAATTTAGAATAGTCAGGAAACTATTCTGCTTTACTTTCCGTTTTCCTACCTAATCAAAAGCATAGAGATGGAGTAAAAATGGCATTAATAATATTTATATCAGGAGATCAGAGGCAACAGCAGAACTCTGACTTCTTTCCTTCTATTGTTTTTGGTACTGAGCATTGAATCCAAGGTGTTATACTACTGGGCTATATAGCAAGTCATTTTAACTTTTTGTTTTTTTCAAGGTAGGGTATTGCTATATCGTTGAGGCTAGCCTTGAACTTGCAATCTTCTTGCTTCAGCATTCTGACTTGCTGGGATTACAGGAGTGTGCCACCATGACCAGTTTCTTTCCTTGAGTTCTTGAGATGGCTTTTAATAAGATACAAAGTTTGTGAGTCATTAAAATACTACATTATTTCAAAACATTGAATACCACCTCTTAATTGACTCTGAACATTTTTAACTTTATCATTGTAACAAATAACACTTAATATCATGTGATACATGATTTTACTTAAAATCAATTTTAATGGGATTACAGCTCGATCCATAGTGATTGATCAATCCATATTATTGCTTCATGTTGTTAATAGATTTCTAGGCATATTGACCACTTGTGTATAACTGATGAACTTTACATGTTTATAAGCACATCATATATTATTAAAGCATTTTTAATGAAATTTAAAATTAAAAATGTTTAACATTTTTAACATTTGTGAGATAAATGTGTATTGGTTACAAAGGATCAAAAAGACTGGTTGGCACCAGGTGCCCTAGCACATGCCTTGTAATCCCAGCAATTTGGGAGGCTGAGGCAGAAAAATGGCACGTTCTAGAGCAGCCTCAGCAACTTAGCACATCCTGTCTCAAAACCAAAAATATAAAAGACTGGCGATGTCAACCCATGGAGAACTGCTTTATTGCGAGGAAACTCAGCGGGAACTGAGCAGGAACTCAAGGTAGCAGGCACCAAGGTAGTAGGAGCCGCTTTATTGTGGGACAGCAGAGGTATATATACCTAACTGATTACACACAGCTTGACTCAATTAGCATCATCTAGATACAGCAGTCAGCCAATAAGGAATCCCCACCATCTTAATGGCATATTATCTAATTATCATTCTGTCATATAACTATAAAAATAAAAATAATTCAAATAGCCAGAGACTTAGTTCCAGATGCAGGAGTTTAGTGAAGAGATTCCAGGGTGACTTAGTACCAACTATATTTCTAAATGCCAGAATAGCCAAGGTTATCATGCTGTTTTAAGATCAGAGTTCCCATTATCTCTCACATAATTTAGTGAGGAGCAAGAAGCTGTAATTCAGCAATATAGAAGCAAAATTATTGATAATTTGTATATAATGTTTTCCATGATGCTATTACTTTGTGTTCTCTCTGTAAGTTTTTAATTAAAAAAAAATATGTAAACTCTTAATCTGCAAATTTCAAATGGCTCCTAATCCTAACTAGTCAAATGTATTTCCTTTTTAGTCATTATATGTACTTACTCATGTATATGTATATATGCATGTGTGTGCAAGTATGTGACTGTGTGTATATATGTGAGTATAAATATATACATATAATAGAATGCATATATAAGAAAATATTCTCTGTACTTCCCATGAAGCATTAAGATAAAATGGGAATGTGGACATGTTATCACTAATTTCCATTAGTGATAACATGTCCACATTCCCATTTTATCTTAATGATAACATGTGATAAATTAATGATAAATTGTCTGTAATATAATTATACAAAGTTCTTATTGACCTTTTCTTCTTACCCATCTTCTATTTTTGCTTTTCTATGAACTAAAAAACAATTTGGGCCAACCCTCTCTCCAGTAGAATTTTTTAGTTTAATGAATGTTTCTGCCCCCTTCTTTGACAACAGAAAACAGTGATGACATAGATGTGTAGAGTAAACTGTGACTAAAAGAATATGAGTGGTCATTCCAGTTTTGCTTATTTTCATAACACATGACAATGTGTCAGCCAGTTGGGGAAACTCATAGGTCATTTAACATTAATACTTATCATGATCATGGGGTGACTGTTGATTTAATGTTCAAGCATGGCCTTCTGATGCAAAAACATGTGCCACTTTTAGCATTGTGATTTGTGATGGTACCAAAAAACAAAGAACATAGAATAGTTATATTCTATAAAACTCTCTTGATTAGCACAGGTCTTTTCCCTCAAAAAAATAAAAATAGGATTAAGAATAAGACAAAAAGAATGTAGAATGGTAAAAAGGAAAGAGAGTCTTTTGTGGAGAATATGGAAATGTTTTCATGTGATCTTTTTATTCCCAAATAAAAGACACCAGTTTCTCCACTCAGTTCCCATGAAAAATATTATCAACTATAATGAAAGGACAAAGGACAATTATTCCACCCCTTCATATTGAAATTTAAATAAGAATAATCATTTGCAATATTTCTAACCTGGCTAAAGCTGAGCAAAGTCAAAATGCAAGACTAAGTTATTGTGTAGACAAGTTAGAGTCTATGAATGTCAACAAGAAACCAAAGGGCGAGTTTCACATGGATCATATTTAATATTACTTCAGTCATCTCTGATGATTAATTGTCAATGACATAGCTGTTAATTTTCCCACATGGTAAAAACTGTATGAAAACAGAAAAGGAAAGCCAAATCCAAAATTTTCAGAATTTCAGGCTTTTTTTTTTCCAGTACACAGTATATTGAATACAGTATGTCCCACATCTGGATATGCACACTAACTCTGAGCTACATCCCCAGCTCAGATCCAAATCTCAAATAATATATTTATATTTCATAATTATTGACAGAAAGATATAATTTGGTAATTAAAAATATGATATTAACTTTAAAATTTAAGGATCAGGAAGTGACTCTATCAACACTAATGAGGACAGCTGACAGAGTTACACTCAATTGCTATTTTATTGGTGAACTACCGGTTTTTTTTCCCCTCTTTCAACTTCCCAAATAAATCTTATTTCTTCACAGTTAATTTATGTTTCCCAGCATACTGAAGCATTGTACCCATTCAGCTCTACTACTGTTCTCTGAAGCCAGCCAGAAATGATCTCACTTCACCTACAATATAAATCCATCAGTGAATAAACAACATCATTTTATTTCAATGCCAATGACACACTACATGTTGATTTGGCAGTTAATAATTTATCTCTCTTTTGGGTGCAATCTGCCAGGCTTATTATAACTCTACTTCTGATATTCATTTCATGTTTAATAGTTTTTGCCTCATGAGAATGCTTGTCAATCAATTAAATTGAAATGTCATTCTGACCTTTCGTTGGAAGCAGTTTACTCTTTTTTCATTTTATCACAAGCTTTTTTTATCTTTTATTCAAATTAAAAGCCCAAATCACTGGTATTCAGAAACTTTATGCCAATTAATGTTACAAAATTACATGCTCATCAATATACTGATGCTTTATCTTTACAGAGGTGATCCAGTTGAGTCTTCCTGAAGATCAGAAACTAAGCATTACTGCAGCAACTGTGGGACAAAGTGCTGTCCTGAGCTGTGCCATTCAGGGAGCTCTGAGACCCCCCATCATCTGGAAAAGAAACAATATTATTCTAAATAATTTAGATTTGGAAGACATCAATGTGAGTATATAAGTACAAGTGCTTTATTAAGTGTATATGCAGCATGATGCATTCTAGGCTTTGTGATGTCTAGTGAACTTTAATTAGTAGTGGATGTAGAATAGAAGAGAATCATTGGAACATTAGTGTATCCATCCTACTGGCTGGGAGGTATACCACAGATCATTTTTAATTATCCAAATTATTAGTGTGATACATAGATTATATGGCAATGTGTTAGTGAGAAAATACACTAAGAAATCTACATCTAGAAATTATTTCTATAAATATACTCATGTGAACTCAAGTATGTATGTATAAAATTGTTCATCTTCACGGTGTTGTGAGAAAAAAAAATTAGAATACCATCCATAGAAAACATGAGGGCATGTATGAATGTGTATATATCAGAGTTATTTTATAGCTTTTACATATGCTAATATGAAAATATATTCATGGGTGTTTATATAAAAATATATCCTGTTTTATTTTAGGATGCTTCTATTTCATATATATATATATATATATATATATTTTAAATATATATAATTTAAATAATACATAATTTAAATATATATAGATTAATTTATAGAAAATTTCTAGAGCCATATTATAAAATGACTCACAAAATGAAATGATTCTAGGGAAGAGGATAAGGTCAAGAATGGTATTCAGACTTGCTTCCAAGAGATTTCTTTTTTTTCTACTTGTATTTCTAACATAGGCCTATATCAATTTTAAAGAAAACAGTGTGTTAAAAATAATACCATGGGCTGGGGTTGTGGTTCAGTGTTAGAGCACTTACCTAGCATGTGTGAGGCACTGGGTTCAATTCTCAGCACTTCATATTAATAGAGTCCATTGACAACTAAGAAAATATAAAAAAATATATCATAGTGTGATTACTTATGAATAGTTTCCTGATGCCTATGGTACACATTCTAGAAAGCACCCAAATTTCTGTCTGGCATAAATAGCTTTCAATGAAAGAATTACTTGGTACAAATCTATAATACTCTGATTAAACAATCTGGGATTGGTTCTGGTTTCACTAGGCTGAGAGGCAGCAAAACAATTCATATAAAGTGATCTGGACTATTTTTAAGCAAAGGCAAGACAGTTTCTCAACCAGTGGGTAGAACAAGGAAAAATTTTTTAAAAAAGAAGATGGTTCAAAAAACTTTGTACTCTACTATTCTTGTTTAATCATTTCAAAATCATGTTTCTATGCCAAATGTCTGTCTGAATTACTATAATTATTAACAATTAATCTCTATCCAATGTGGTTATGGTTGAGTAACAGTTTAAAGGTCTTGAAGTTAGAAGAGGGTAAAGACATATTTTACTTCAAATATTTTGCAATGTATTAGAAACAAGAAATATTGATCAAAACAAATAAATGGTTTTTTAACAGAATGGAGGTACATGTTTCTTTATTGAGGTGTACATCCAGGGATATAGATTCTAAACTCCTTTCAACTGGGTATGCCCTCCAGGGTAAGGGAAGAAAAAAAACAGAAACCAACTCTAACCACTTATCTGTTCAAAAAGTGAACATCGCCCTAGGCGATAAAGTTAAAAAATTGTGCACTTACAGGATATCTGTGTAATTGAAGTATGGTGCAATCATTTGACTTATTGATCTTAAAATTTTATGATATCTGCATATTTTTGAGCAGTACTCAAAAAGCTATCATTTCCATTTAATTTTGTTTGCTTTGTAAAGAACTCAGAAAATAGACTGAATCTACAATCTCAAATTCCTATTTATTTTATTTCTCTTAATGTTCTTGTTTATTGTTTTAGAATCTATTTCAAAAATCAGGAGTCTTCTCCAATTTTTTTTTTTTTATTATTTTGATAGAAGTTCTCTAATTCGAAGAATTTTCCTCAAGGAGGTAATGGAGAATGATGTCTTATTCTCTAAGATATTAGAAACAGTGTGCCTTTCATGTCAAAGGAAGCAGTGACATATACAATATCCTTACTGATTTTTTAATATGTATATTAAGTAGAATTCAGTATGTTTTTACTTATGTTTACATTCTAATTCCAAACAATTAAAATAACTTAGATGCATTTTAAAAGCATAAGTACTTCTTATCTTTTAAATCAGCTTACTCCCATTTCCAAATGCAGAAAAAACTCTGTGAATGAGTACACTTTTAATCCCCCTTCCTTGAATTGCATAAGTAATTTTATTCCTTTAATAGGATTATTCATATCACGTCACATTGTCCAATTACCTCATTAGCTCTAAAAACAGCTCCATGAAGCAGAGAATCATATGCCCATTTATACATGTGAAGATTTATAGTAAGAGATATACTTAGTTGTTTACTCAAGGTCACCGAGGTAATAAGTAGTAGTAAGGATTGTGGTTTTTACATTGCCTGATTAATTCTAGATCAAGAGTTGTTTAACCACCTCATGAAACTGATCTATTCTGTAGTTTTCTGGTGCCCTTTGGAAAGCATATCTATATAATTCTGGATCCTATAGATTACAAATAGATTTGTCATATTCTATTATGTGTGAGACTAATTGAAATTCAATTGATGTTTGGAGTCTTTCATTTTGCCTGCCTTCATTTTTGCATCAAATGATCAAAAGCATACCACTGAACTACAGGAGCATGTATAACACTGGTTTGCAAGATAGGCTTTAGACTCATATTTTCTAGTTTGCAATTAATCTTCAGTCACTTAGGAGTGATGTGACCTCAAGCAAGTTGTGTAAACTTTCTGTACCTAAGCTCATGTATCTGTGAAACAAAGATAACAGTAGAACTAACTTATTTTTTGGTGAGAATTAATGAGATAAAACATTCTAAAGCTGTTAACACTATATAAGACACATTGTAAACTTTCAATTAAACTGTGTCTCATTTTTGTCTTCTCTTCCTTCTTCCTCTTCTCTTTTTCTTTCTTCTTTCTTTCTACATATTTCAAGAACACAGGTGCTCTGACCCTGCGTAAAAGAGGAGAAATTTATTTGTAGGGTCCGTATACTAGGAGAGATTAGAAGTTCCTAGGAAATGCTGGATTTGAATTTTTCCCAATTATAATAGCCATTCAAATAGGAGAAAAAAAAATTGATTTAATGTAATTTTAGGAATTGTGTTATCTTATTTTTTGGTTAGCAATCTTTAATTAATCCCAGCTCTAAAAATATGCCATTATATTCATTCAGCTGAATGAATTCATCTCTATGCATGACCTCAATCCTCTTTCTGCCCAAATTCCTGAAAAAAACTAATTGGATTTTTTTTTGGGGGGGTTCCTTGTTTGCAAGTTATTTTAGTTAGGGAAACTTATTGAAGAGAGATGGAGCAAGCATAGAGACAAAGATATATTTTTAAGACAAATGTGGGAAAAGAAAGTAGAATTGATTGACATTATTAGCAGTCAGGTGTGAAGAAAAGGGAGGAATTGAAAAATGGCACTGTTTTCCATAGGGTACCTTACTAAGAAAATTGTCAATAAGTGGTTGGATAGCCTAATTTTTTGTTTTGCTGCATTTTCACTTCAGGTAAATTAGTTCAAAAATCTAACACTTATTGTTTATGTCATGTTTATAATATCTATATTTATTCATCATTCATTAAGTTATATTATAATCTGGTGTAAATTCAACATTGAAATGAAATTGCATCATACCAATGTAGAGTCCAATTCTTAGCTATGTAACTAAAACAAATATATCAAATAAACTTAAATTTCAGTTTATTCACCTCTAATAAGAAAAATTTTTTATAATATTCAATAATATAAAATAATGTTATTTCACCCATTATTATAAGCAGCTAAATTCATTATGACATTGTTGATTATATGTAATTCCAACTGTCAAGCTCCCATAAAAATACAATGTATTTGTCAGGTTTAGTGGCCCATGCCTGTAATCCCAGTGGTGTTTGGAAGGCTGAGGCAGGAGGATCACGAGTTTGAAGTCAGCCTCAGTAAAAGCGAGGCACTAACCAACTGTCTCTAATAAAATACAAAATAGGGATGGTAATGTGGCTCAGTGATTGAGTGCTCCTTAGTTCAATATCTAGTACAAAAAAAATATGATATATTTGGAAAAGTCTTGTGCAATATATATTATTATGACTTTCAATGACTTTCCAAGTAAAGTTGCTAGGTAAAATACAATTTTACTGGAGAGTTCCATATTTTATGTACACTATAAAATTTTTATTTTAAATATGACATAAAAAATAATCCCTGTTTATCTGAACTTCAATTTATATTTGGTTATCTTATAGATTATTTGATAAGAAAATTGTCAGTGGTTGGATAGCCTAATTGGTATTAACATGAAACTCAAATTGTTTTCATTGTTGTATTAAGCCAGTTTTCAACAAATAATGCTTTATCTTATATCAAGTGGATGAAATGAACAGCCAACATATCTCTTGAATTATATCTATAATCTTTGCATATTTCTATTCTTTTAATATTTTGTTCTCTACACGTATCTAAGCAATGACAGTAGTTTTGTCCATCAATGAACACAAGAAACTAAAAAACAGTGACTTAAATATATGGGAGTTTTGGGTTTTGTAAAACATACTGTAAACATTTGGCATGATTGCACCATAAACATCTGGCACTCAGTGTTCTAAATCCATGGCTTTTATCCTCACAGTCATCTCAGGGTTCAGATTTGCTGCAAGGTTTCCAGCCATCAATCTATATTCCAGGTCCAAAGCAGCATATAAAACAGATGAAAGGAGAAGTCACTTATCCTTGCTTTTGTAGACTTTTCCTGGAAGTCTCGAAAGTGCTTATAGGTTACAGTAATAACTATAATAATTATACTAGGCAACCTGGTAAATATAATACTGTACCAGGTCACACTGCCCAGCATTCTGTTATAGAGGATGAACAAGATAATGGACATTTGGTGGCATCAAGAAATCTCTACTTTTATACAGGCCACCTAAGAAAAATATTAAATATTCAACTTCATACATTTTTTGTATTTGTTTATGTTGATAAAATATGATTATGCATCTA